AGTAGTAGTAGTAGTAGTAGTAGTAGTAGTAGTAGTAGTAGTAGTAGAAAACATTCCACAAAGACAGAAAACATCATAAATAGCTGCAGCGGTGCATGGAATTCTGAACGAAGGATCCCACAATACTACTTTACCTCAGTCCACCTGTTTTTTCTGCCTCAAATGTCAAACGCAGCACCCCGGCAGTGCGAGACTCCCGGACCATGGTCCCGGTCCCCACTCGAGCGAGCAGAGCGCTCGCTCCGTTCAGGTCCAAGGAGCTCGAAGCGCATGGACCGCAGGAGCCGCAGGTCAGCAGTGCTGCCCAAGGGATAGAGCTCCTGATGAGGCGAGGACTAAGGCGAGTTCATGGTGGAGGTAGGTTTAGGATGACCAAAATTGACCAAGAGCATATAGCGACCCAGTCGATGATGTTGGTCAATTTCGGAGTAGATAGAATAGTAGATAGAATAGATATGAATGGATGAAGAAATCCTAAAACCAGGAAACTGGTCAGATGTTCGCTTTGGTTCATATTCTATCTACTCCACGGTTGTACATAGATGGATCACCATGGATCACCCATCTGTCCAAACAGACAAGCTACATACATGGCTTCAGCCATCTGAAACCATTCCCACAATGCAGTGCTCATCTATATACAAGGGCATCCAAGGGTCCCCTTCCTTGGCGAACCGAGTGAAGCTGTGCTGGACAAATTCATTGCAGGCCGTGGTTCCCACCACCTTGAAGCCGACGTCCCTCACACCTGGATGCATTTGCTTAGCTGTATTCCATGATCCTGAGCACCCATCTAGAATCTAGAATCTAGACCCTTCACCATCAAACACCATGCTCAGAAAGGAATATTCCCGCTGCCCTGAGCGTTTTTGGCACGGTTTTGACCCTGCACGGGTCTCTCGAGGTTTTGGACCCTCACACCATAAACACCTTGACCTTTGAGGGTCCATGTGAAGGTAGAACAACGTTGACAATGTACAAACATGGAGTCCATTCGGAGTCGCCAACATGGAAGTGGATGGCACCACCTGTTTGTAGGGCAAATGGTCATCCTTTCGGGGCCACGCCATCCACTTCCATGATTCTTTCAGGGAGTGTATTGTTCTTTTCCGAACATCCAAACCATTGTTTCTTGGTGCATTGATTCTGATGTTACTCAGGATCCATTCTGAACGCCCAATCCTGATTGGTTTCCACTCACCTGACGACCGCTGTCAACGGCGTTGTCCGCTGTGGATCTCTTAGACTTGGACCGACCTCAACGGTGCGTGGACCTTCTGCCGCTTCGGTGAAACAACGCAGATATCTCTGTCGTTGGCCGTTGAACACGATGGTTTGTTTGGGATCACCATCTTAGCAATGAAGAGTCGCATTGAAAATGGAGCTTTGCTTGAAGACACAGAAAGATCGAAGTCAAAAACACATCGAAAAACAACCGTAATTAGCTAGGAAGATCCAGGTATAACCTTGGCTCAACTCCCAAGATGAGCTTTGCCCGGTCCCTTTGAACCTGGGAAGAGGGAGCATAGACTCTGGTGCTAAGGGGTCTTGCCCAGTTCCACTCCCCAAACCAAACACACAAAACTGATCTCCTGTAGTGTGCTTTCCTCCAGCGGCATCAGCTCCAGAAAGGCTTCGTTGGGCCGCCCGAAGACGACTGCCTGATCAACGTAGACAATGGGGGCCGAGGTCGGTGAACGAAGGTCCGAGAAGTCTGTGGTGTTCATTTGTGTTCATCAGGACCACGTTCGTTGGAGTTTTGATATATGTGTTTTCATCAGGAATCTGTTTGGTTTTGCAAGTCAATGGCTTCTGCGAAGTTCCTGGTCTTTGGAGTGGTTGGACCCTGAACATCTCAGTCACCTGGATTGATCCAAGCGGAACACCTGAAGAATCGCCTACGAAGGAGTCTCTAAGAGGGTAACCCCTTTCACGTAAAGGGGACAGCAAGGCTCGGATAGAGAAAAACACACTCTGCACAGTGTCGCTCATTTTGGGACATAGCCCCCTGGCCGCCCAAGACTTAAAGCTCCAAGTCGAACCATCAAGATTCATCAAGTTCCAAACGGTGCAACGCCTGGCCCATCATGCTCCTCGCAGTTTGTTCTCCAAATCGCCTCCAACAGGGTGCCACCCTCCTCTTCAGCAGCCACCAAGGCCCCAATCCCGGCCTTGGATTTGCTTAAGGAACCTGGAAAGAATATATAATATACAAAATTCTCCAGAAGAGGGTATTTATACAAAAAAGTAATGAATCTATAAATACAAACACAATAAGCTGATCTGCCAAACCAGGCCGCCAGAAAGCCCATTTGATTCGCTGCTCGTAGTGCGAGCGCCGCACAGGAGGGCAGCAGCAGCGTGCGGGGGCGTGGCGAGAGGAGCTGCAAACGCAGGGAGGCCACTCCCGCCTTTTCATCGACGGAATTGGGCGGAAGAAACATCGAATCACTTCCCATGTTCCACTTACTTTCCCATCATAAGTCTGAACACCACGGATATGTCAATACGCAGTTGAAATCGGTTCTTCAATTATATTTACTTGTGATAACTTGTGGTATATCCATCCCGAGTCTATCCCTAATCCCGCAACGGTTTTCGTGGTGGCTTACCTGGAACTTAGGTAGTATGGATCATGGCAACATTCTTCTGAGACGGAAGGCCTCAGAGTGCACACCGGTGCTTCTTCATTGGCACTCCAGAGCATGACCACGTCATTCCATGACTACTTCACTCATAGACGGAGGGGCGCCACACCTGTCAATGGTGCTGTGAGTGATTGTGGTTTCGACCTATTTCCATCAATCGATTTTCCCACTGCCTGGGTTTCATGAGACCTGCCCAACAGAAACTCTGAGACCTTCATCCACAAAACGACCGGCCACACGGCCACGAGTCGAGACCTCCGCACCGCCAGGTGGCTCCGCCACCGGCTCCGCAAAAGCAGCGCACACCCGCGCGGGGACTCGTCTCAACAGGTTCCGATCCATCGTCCTTCGACCAACTCCTCACGAAAAAAGTGCATCTTCGATTCATGACATACCCCAAGGTCTGCCTTCGCCATCAACCCCCAACCCCAGTGACACCCAGCTGCCTCCTTGGTGAGCTTTGTAGTATAGCCCTCCACCTGAGCCGTCAGTCCCTGTCTTGGTTGATCATTCTAAGAAGCTTCATGATTTCTCTGTGTTCCCATGTCCATCTGCTATAGGAGATGTTCCTCCCCTACGAATGCATGTTCTCCTCACCTGGCAGCTCAATGCTCCGCCCATGGCCGCTGCACTGCAGGCGCGCGCCGCGTCCGCGCTGAGGCGCAAGGGGAAGCTGTGGGAGCAACGGCCACTGGAGCACAGCACCAAAGCACTCTCTGAGGACAAGCTGCTGCCCATTTTTCAGCTGCAGGCGCGAGCGCAGGAAGAGAGGGAGCGCAGAGGAGGCGGTCGCTGGGAGTAGCTGGGAGGATGCTGGGTGATTTTTGAGACACGAGAGCTGCTCGGTTGGGTGGTTGAGGTGGGCTGGAAAGTCCGGTCTAGTGATCCACTAAGTGTCCGGAGTCCAAGGCATTGCTCACCCTGGTGCGACAATCTCTCTCATTCTGATCTGGGTGTGGATGATCTGGGCTCTGACATCACTCGGAGTTAGGAGGAAAATGCTTGGAGATGTCCTGCCATTCAGTGGTTTCTTGAGCGGGGAGGGGTTTATCCATGGGAGACCCAAGGAAAAGGCAACAAAGGCTCCATCGTGGAGGGTGTTCTCAGTAAGTCTGCGTATATACTTTTCAAGTATCTTCAGTTGGAATAGCCTCCCAGCCGGCCATGAAAGTCAATTACAAGTGATGGATGCGTCGTCTTTGGGCTGCAACTGCAACTGGGCTGCAACTGCAGCTTTGCCCTACGAGACGCGGTCGGTTCTCCAAGACGCGGTCGGTTCAGTGGACCTTCCAATAGCGCTGGCAGGATGGAAAGACGGTGGGCAGAGATCCAAAACTCTGTCGAGTGCTGCGCTCGTAGAGAAACTGCTTGTCCAGTCGTGTGTGTGTGTGTGTGTGTGTGTCCGGGCACAGGGTCTCTACAGACTCAAGACATTCTCATTGATTCCTGAGAGCCACAAACAGCTTGGTCGATCAAGAGGACTTGTGGTCGATCAAAGGGACTGTCTGACGCCACTCCGTAGCGAGGCTTCTGAGGCTTCTTGCTAATGGATTCTTCTGGTACGAGTATATAGAAATATAATGAGATATATGTATATATCGTTCCATGGCATCTTTCAAACTGGCTCAATCTTCCAAGTGGGGTGCTTCTTTGGACCGACCTTGGGCCAAAGGCGTGGTTACCTCGGCCTGCCAAGACCTCAGCCTGGTCCTCCGCAGCTGGTTGTGCTGGCCTCGTAGTCCTCCTGGGGTGCCGGCCTCCCAAGTCTGGCCATGAAGTACCAATGGCCCGCGATATGAAACACGCAATATGAAGCACTCTTTTCCACGGGAGATCTCGGTGAAAACCATATATGACAAGCCATATGAAGGTCTGGTCATGTGAGGACACAATATGACAATATGATCAAATATATGATCAATATGATATGTGGAAAAAGGATTAAAAATTCTTCGATTATATCATTTGTCTTAAGAGCCAAAGTGCCAAAGTGAGAGGGAATTTGTTCAAGAACCAGGGACTGGTGATGGTAGCACCTGAAACCAAAATCCTCTTCAGCGCTTTTCCGCGTCCCAACGTTGGGGTTCCGCGGTGGGACCCATTCGACCCCTGACATCCCCCGACGCCAATCAGCCGAAACATTTTTCCAGGTGGGACCCATGCCATAGTCATACTATGTCATACTCCATGATTCCGAAGATTGGAAGTTGAACTTATTGAAAGATCGAAGATTGAAGTGTCCTTTGCCATGCATTCCCATGCATTACGAATCCTGGAGATACACCCTTCTTTCCCACTCTGAAAATCTTTGATCTGTATCTTCCCCTTCAAAAATATGACCTAAAAGCACAACTCCTAGAGACTCCAGCGATTTGGCAAGGCTAGAGACTCCAGCTCCCTATGACCAGACCAGTCGCTTCACTGCCTCCGTTCCGGCCGGCCGCTGGCTTCCGGAGAACGGCGCCGGACCAACGGCCGGCGGCTGCGGAGGAAGGCATCGCTGCGCCTGGACGAAGAACACCCGGTGACATCTATCATCTATCTATCACTGTGTTACTACTAGTTTGCTTCTGGCTACTAGTAGTAATGCCCTTGTTCCTGGTAGCTTCTTGCTATCATCTATCACTGTGCATGGACCAAAACAAACCAAAACAAGCGTTTCCATGCGGCACGGTAGTACAACCTGTCTCACGAATTTCTGCCGACCGAAGGGGTGATGCGACACAAACCCATCAGAATGGGAGTCTAGGCTTCAGCAAGAAAAGATCTACAGTCACTACAGTCTACAATAACTCTCATTGACTCTCACTTTGTTCATTTCAAGCTATTGACTCTCATCCTACAAACCAAAGTTCTGGATCACCCCTCAGCACTCCCATGCACCCACGGAATTTCTAGGCCTCTCTCCGGCAAGCAGTGGCTTGGTCGCCACGCAGCGCAAACACCTCGAATCCGCCTCGGCGGCGCAGGTGACACCGCTCCTCTGTGGCAGGTCTCTGGGAGGCCCAAGGGAGGCAAACATGTTGCACTCCTTTTGACCCGATGATGAAAAAAATACTCCAATGATCTCGTAAAAACGTCAGTGGAAAATAGAAAGATTTGGGGGTGGACCCGATTTGGGGTTAGCACATACTCTAAATTCATGGAGTGTATCCCAAGAGGTATCAAGTGTGAGATATGGGCGAGTGTTTCAAGAGATGGTCGAGTCTTCTTGAGCCAAAGTCTTTAAGTTCGAGTCAGAGTCAACAGATGCTCCCGATCAGGAAGCTAAGCGCCTCGTCAGAAAGCCACGTTTCCAGCAAGCGCAAGTGAGGATCAAGAACGAGAACTTCTATCTATCGCAGCACCCAAAGGATGCTTAGAAAGGAAGGTCACCAGTATAGTAGTATAGTTAGAGGGCCTCTCAGTGGTGGATCAAACATTTGACTCCCCAAGTCTGTGTCTGTGAACTCCCCAAGTCTCTCCCCACATACCTTCAGACCACGGGAGGTGAAGCGACCACACCCATCGTCCGACGTAGAACGGTGGGCCCAGCAGCTGTGCATTCCACACATCTCCGCTCAAGTTCGCCTGGAAGCTCGGTGGGAGGAGAGCTGGTGCGAGATCGTAAGAGCTGAGTCAACTTGAATCTTCGAATTTTGAAGATCACATGTGGGCACATAGAAGGCTGAAGAGCCAGTCATTTCTCGTATGACTCCTCACAATACAGGGGTGTCTTTCATTCACCCCGGGTCAAAGGAAACTAAGTAAAGCCCCATCAAATTTGCAGGTTGCTGTGACACATTCTCTTGACCCTGCAAATGGTGGAAAATACTGGTGAAGACAAACCCAACGAGGAAGTAGTATTCAATCCTACCGAAGATAAAACGAGTGCATAGCAATATTATTGATACTGAAAGTGGGTACATTCATGTCTTCCCATTCTTGCATTTGTTTGGATGAAAATCCGATCAACAGATCAGCACCCCTTATCTCCATGCCTTCATCTCCGTGCAGCTCCTCCTGTGTAGAGGCCTGTCAAAAAGCGAAGGCCTCCAACAAGGACCCCATGGAAAAATCCGCTGAAAGAAGACCTGGACAATCTCATCTAAGGTGTGTCCAATCATATCGAATCCAATCATAAAGACGATCATAAGGGAGCACGTTAAGAAACATGGTGACCCGGTAGTGCAGCGAGGTGACTCCCTGACTCTCCCCCCCCAAAGAAAAAGAGAACTCACACCTGGTGAGTAGCATTTTCGTTGCACCCCTCATGGTGCACCACCCGGATCCTCTTATCTTATTCTGGTCAGTGTTCCAGAAAATCTACTCGATCCAACTCTATCTTCACATGGATCCAAAAAAACTCCCATGGACCTGCTGCCCACTCTGCCGCTTGCCCCTGCCTTCGTGAGCGATGCTAAGCTGGACACCGAGGTCGCCCGGGTGGAGCGTGCCGAACGCGCGGACCTGGGTGGAAATCGCTTACGCCGTGACGGTCGTGGCGGCCGTGCTAAGCTGGAGTGAAGTGGATGGCATTGGCATCGGATGAACATGAAATCAATCCGAAGACCCACGAAGACCCGAACCGAACTGCTGGATGTTCCCACCAAACCATGATGTCCAACTCGGAACTGCCAGATATTCGTGAAACCAGATGTTCGGTCCGGGAGGGGATCATGGGATCCATGGAATCATGGGAGGGTGGCTGGGATTCGGTGGGTGGTACCCAAGGTACGAGCTGTAGCAAGTCTCCTCTGGAAGATTGGACTGGACCACTTGTGAGGGACCGGTCGAGCTGTACAGTCGATGTTGGTAGATACTGTTCCATCCAACTTGCAAGTGACGAAACCTGAAGGATACAACATCCTGAAAGCCGAGCTTCAAGAAACCTCGGGTGTCACAAGGTTGTGTTCTGAAGTCCTTTCTCCGTTCCAAGCGAGCAAACGCTCGTCGCTCGCCCAGAGTGGGTCCAACTAGAAACCGCCACGACCCAGAGTTCAGTCCAAGAGCTTCGGACTGATGGCAGGAGACCTGATCTGAAACATGGGAGCTGATCTGAACGCCCTACCGTTTTGTATCTTCCTCCTCTTCCTAGACGCAGCCCAGAGTGAGCCAGCACACAACCAACACCCTGACGTGTAGGCTTCGCCAAAGGGACGAGCGTTGCTGGGATTGCAGCACTCGAGCCCAGCCTCGAGACACTACCTGAGCAACTGTTGACAGTGGCCTCCCCTGCTAGCACACCCAGCAAACTCTGCAGCATCCAGTGAGCACAAGTTGCCCACACAAGTTGCCCATCGTCTCACTATCATCCACTTTGCACCAAGTGGGTTGGCCTCAAACGCCTTCGAAGCATGTACGCCCTGCAGCGCGCTTCGCTTGTGCTGGTGTGCGCCCCACACCCGGCCAAGGGTGTGACAAAAGCCTTCGGGAGTATCACACGGCCTGAGCAGCATCCCGGTTGGCTCTTTCAGGTAGGGCGCGTGTTTCGGACATAAAAGAACACTCTGGCCACTATAGGATCCTTGGAGCATTTGTGGGACCTCCGGGAGACCTCCCATCGGTTCATCATTATCCCACTCATACCACCGGCTGTCACGTCGGACCTACAGAGCTGCAGGCCCCACCCTATCTCTGGAGTAGAGGCATGTGAGAAGCTATACAGGTCTTGTCGAGGTCCAAGACCAACAGCTATACACGTCGGACCTTGTGTACCGCGGCCGCAGGGCGATCTCCGACCCAATCGACCGAAGTGGGAAGTCATAGAACCCAAGTTATGCAGGGCCCACTCAACACTCTTGGCTAGATTCCCAATTGGTGGCACTTTATTGTTTTTGTTTTTGTTTCCAGAGTCGATGAGAACGTTCGATCCAATAGTGAAGATGAATGCAATGCTGGCATGAAATCCAATGCTACAGTGCCCTCGTTGCGCGTCATCGCAAACATCCGCCACTGCGGGGAGCAATCTGAAATATATGGTCAAAGCTTCAGCAAGGAGACAAGCTGACAGTGGGTTTTCTTTTTTCTTGTGTCATCAAACCTTCAGCAGGGAGACAAACTACCCCAAGCGACCGCCACAACTCCTCATGTGATGCACTGGGTGTCAGGACACCACGGTCGGTGGAAACGAAGAAGTCTGGAACACTCACTCCAAAAGGACGTCCCTGTGTCGCTCCGCTTCAACCAAATGAACAGAATGGAGCAAAATGGTCTGGCGATCCCCTTGGTTTTGAGGTGGTTGACCCGAAAGCCAGTTGGCTGCAAAACATGCACTCAGTAGAGTAAATTCAGGAATCAGGATTCAGGAATCAGTTCCTGGTATGATATGACAGAACTAGTTGGGACATGACTAGTTGTTCAGAACCGGCATGTCACACTTTCTGATCATATATGTCCACCTTGCCTCAACAGGATCTCTATTTCCAGCAAGGTTGATGCAATTGCACTGCCCCAAAGAAGCCAAGAACTCCAAATCATCCAAGCTCCACACCACCAAACATCTACAGTATTGCTTTCACTTTAAGCCAGGAAAAATCCAAGAACTCCTGAGAAAACCTGAGAATAGTCCAGCTCTGGGATTGCAGGGGCTCCCACTTCCCCACTTCTTCGCCCAGGTTCCCGTCCCGTCGCGTTCGTTGCGCACGCCGAGGGGCCAGGGTCTCGATCGAGCCTGGGGATGGGGGAGGTGTCGACCTCCCCGTGACGGTAACACCAACAAACAATCACCTAACAGTGAGTTCTGGAGATTTGAGAGATTCAAGTTCTACAGGTATCCTGAACAGGTGCACCCATGGGTTTATAAGAACTTCAAGTGAATGATCCTGAAGTGTCTGTGTATGATCGTCACTTCAGCACAGCGGCAACATGAAGACCAACTGCAGTTCAGACTCCAAGCACAGGGTTTGAGGAGAATTCCCTCTCAGTCGTGTGAAATGTTTGCGGGTAGCACCATGCTGGGCATTCAATTAGCATATAGTTATTATCATATTACGCTAATATCGCACACAACTGCAGCTTGTATTCCAAAACAAGTAGTATCAAATATAGTATTACCGCTGCTAAAGTGGCACTGCCAACCGGCAGTTTGTCGAAACCGGAGAATGCTTTCGAGACTACATCTGGGTCAAAAATGATCAAAAGCTCTTCGAACTGTCCTTCAATCTTGCCAACAAGCCAGCTGCTTGGCAACCACTAAAAGTCATATATTTCAACGATATATGAATAGGTGTGTATAGCTACGAATTGTGAGCATTCTGTGAATTGCATTCCACATCACTTGTTCAATCCACCTGTGAAATCTGTGAAATCCATCCAAGACTTGGTGGGTTCCTACAATCAAAGTGGTCGGCCCATCAGCAGCCTCCTTATCAAGAACAGAATCAACATGAATCAACCTCTGCAAGTCACAGAGTCGATCGTAGTCGTGTTGCTTCTACAGCGCCAAAGACCCGAACTTTGACTCGAACGGGCCCATAGGAATCTTCACGAATTGAAATGCGAGGAGGTCGGACAACTGCGGGGTACCCGGTGAAGAGTAGCCTGAAGATCCCTTGGATTGCACCCCCTCTCCCCGCTGCCTTCAGACGCTGGCGGTGCGACAGTTGCGATGGTGTAGCTGCAGCATCTGAGCCTAGCAAATGGAACATGGGAAAGAGCCCTTCTTCCGGCTTGAAAACAAAGGCGTCCGGCCTCTGGCCTTGTTGTATCTTCTTAATGAGGGCAGTTTGGGATCTCCCTGTCTTGATAGCAAAGGCAAACATACTTTGATCTGGTCTCCCTGTCTACACGTACGGCAAGCATCAACCCAAGAATCTCTTCGACCTCAACAAAAATCACTTGCTGCACGTGCTTGAAAGGAGTCATAAGAGCAAATAAATTCAATACTAACTCAACAACCCGCATCTTTAGTGCTTCCCATGCATCGTCGCTCCTTTTTTTGGGGCCGTCGGCCTTGGAACCACCTCCTCATCTCTGTGCCAAACGAGCCGTCCCGCACGAGTGGGAATTCCGGCCGATCCAGTCACATCGCCGAGCCAACGATCCGGGCTCAGCACAAAAGAAGAATGGGTGCATCTTGCAGCCAAATCTCTGAGTCTAAAAGTCTAAAACGTTAAGAGAGTATCAACAAGGATCCAAGGATCCAATCACCTTCGCCACTTTGGGAGATTGGACACCGCACAATCCGGTCTCTTCAGCAGGTTCACTCGTCGAAGATCCCATGGCGGTCAGGCACGGGGTTCCAGGCCAATGATCACCTGCCGTGGTTATAAGTCCCATGGGTTTTGAGGAACCCAAAACGACCAATCCTTCGGTGTGGAACTCTGCCACCATCGTGGAAAGCCCTGGATGTCAATAGGATGACCCACCCACCAATGGGCTTTGATGCAAGGATGTCCTTCTAGCAAATGTCGGAGGTCTCAAGATAGCTTCCCCAAGTGAAAAACATACCCCAAACCCAAAGAATTTGTTGGAAAAAAAGGTTTCCTGCTTTGAATACATACCCAAAGAATCCCAAAGAATATAACTTTTCGACTGGCGCCCCCCCACACCTGTCAGAGGGTTTTGAGGGGCTTCTTCCGCATCGATCGCGGGAGTCGATCAGCGGCGTTCAGATCTGCAGATCTGCAGATACCTGCAGGCCACAGTGTGTAGCTAGTGCAAACGACCTCCTTTCTTTCTTTCGTGGCCAACGACTTCTGTCTGTAGCTAGTGCATTCAAATTATTAAACCCCCAAACAAGTAGAATGCGGGGAGCACTTTGTACTACCGTAAATATGAAATCATCAAGTACACTCCCTGAAAACGAACACCGCCCCTGTCAGGAGGCGGAATGCATGGGTTTCCAGCATCGTGTTCTTCTGAAAACAGTGTCCAGGATTCACGAATCCTCTTCCTTCATGAACAGGAACATCTTCCATCTTCCACCACTTCAGACCCCCTCAGATGGCCTCTTTGCCGGGTAAGACCACGAAGGAGGTCATCTCCCTCAGTGGTGGCCCCTGCCATTGCTTGAGCTTGAAGTGCCGCAAGACCTGGCGCGGCTCGTCCCGACCGGAGAGGCGGTCCCAACCGGCTCCGCAGCATCGCGACTCGAGTCCGGAGTGTAAGGACGCTACGATATAGGGGCTCCTGGCCGTACTACTAAAAGCATTCTTACTACTACCAACAAGAAGCTATAGAACGGTGAAGGCCGAAGCTATAGTAGGTTGGAGGCCATCGCTACTAGTAGCAAGAAGCTGTCTTGGCCATTCGAGGTGTGTCATGTGCTCGAAGACGAAGTTTGCAGAGATCCGAAGCAAACCCATAGGCACGGTTCTGTTGACTCGACCCCCTGGTCAAAATGGTCAGGCTGTGGTCAAGGGGCAAATTCGCCGCGAATAAACTTCCCACGCCAAACTGCTCTGAAGAAAGATTCTTTCAAAGTGAGCATGTTGACTCAGGCTGCACAAAGCTGAAACGTGTATTCAGGATGCGTTACAGTAGGTCGGGTCCGTAGGTGGCTTCGGCTGTAACCTGTTCTTGGAGGCTTAAGTCCGTTTGGGACAAGCCAATGTTTCAGAAGACCTGATGAAGATGCTCAAGACTCAAGACACAATGAACCTTTGCCCCCAACTCCAAACCACCAGGCCCCGCGGCACACAGCGATCACCAACTTCAAAAGGGACCTGGGCGATCACCAACTTCCCCTCGTACTCTGCCAGGATCTTTCCCAGGCAAATCCGGGCACCGTGACCAAAAGGCAAAGAGTCGAAGGGAGGGCATTTCACCAGGCCCTGCGATGCGCGAAATGCCCAAGATGCGAGGGGTGGAGAGGTCCAACATTGGGACACAGATGTGGGGCAACATGTCCTCCTTCTCGAGGTAGTACAACATACACTTTCAATTGTCAGACATTTCCAAGCCAGTATAGAGGAGAGTTGGCATACGATTTAAAGGCTTCAATTTCTATAATTATATATATATATACACAGTGTCTGTATGTATATATATACACATTAATGTGATATATACATATATATATATATAACTTAGCTGAAAGATTGCAAAATACTTCAAGGACAACCAAAGTCAGCAGAATCAGTCATGCACCGAGTCCGCCCTCAATCAATCCTAAAGCTTCTCAAGCAAAGGCCCTTCATTAGATAGAAATAGGGGAAAAAGAAACTGATATCAAATCAACCCAAGTTTAAAGAAGCTGTTCAAAGCCTGCGAGGAACTCTTGCTCAAACCCTGCAAAGTACAGTAACAAGAAGCTACTAGGTTGGAGGCCATCGCTATTCTATAGGTTGGAGGCCATCACTACTAGGTTGGTGGCCATTCCTACTACCGAGTCTCACCCCGCATCCCACGTGCCGCGCGCCTCGGGGCCGATCCACCGCGCTGGGCGGAAGACGTGGAGATCGTCTCCGAGCCTCACTCCCAGCCGACGACTCCGTGGAACCGAGCGCAGGAGTTCTCCCTTTTTTGGAACGTCCGGGAGTCCGGACGGGTCTTGGACCGGCGTGGAATCCAAACCGTTAGATCCTGGTGTCCAGAAAAAAGGTTATTGAGATGTTTTGAACATCGACGACTTACAGCTGTTCATCTGCCTTGGGTGACCAAAGGCAACACGGCGTCTTTTCACGCCACATTCAACTGCTTGGGGTGGTCTGGAACCCCTCCCGGGACAATCCACGTCTTGGATCCGATGCCGGAGTGGCTGAGCACCTGCCACAGATCGAAAACCCTAGGGATCCACTGGTTCCTGATCAGGAGGTGCGACTGGGCCCGACAATGGCGCCTACATCAAGAGTCTCCCTGCTCACCGTACCTGAGAAGGTACGACTGGATCCCTAGGGTTAAAAAGAAGGAAATAGAGGCGTTGAAGTTGATGGTCTGGCCCTATACGACGCATACGTGGAAACATGATGCCTATACTGACCTGAAGGAAAAGTCTCCGTGGAAACAACCTGTTGAACTCATCAATATGGATCATACTTACGATTGACATTAGTTTTTCCCCTTGTAGGGTGGTGCAGGATTTCATTCAACCATATGGTCTACACCTGTTCTTGAATTCTGGGCTAATGAACTGGCAGGTCAGACCCATGCAAACTCCCCGAAAGTGGCTGAACATAGTCTGGAGGTGAAACCACACCTTGTGAGCTGGAGTACGCTATGGCACGCTGTGATTCAAGCAACATCACTGTGGTGTGATCATCTTGGCATGGGAGTGCTTACATCGAAAACAATTAGAAATATCAAATATCTCTCTCTCTCTCTTCCAATTGAACGAACTCCAACATCAACATCCGCTTTGCCAATGCTTCCGAGGGTGGGTAGTACCACCTTCAAGCCTCTGATCGCACCAGCCCCTGCCAGAACCATTCCATGGCCTTCAACCAGGTAGCTTTGCCTTCACTTCCGGCGCATTGTGAAGCACATGGCGATAGCACACCTTGCTTGGTCGAGCTCGGGCGATGCCCGCCCACATGTCAATCAGGAAACCAGATCGACACCCTTTGAGAAGGCACTACAGTAGAGTGTTTCTGCATTTGAGGGATGCAGCATGGTGCAGCATTGTGTCCACAAGCTAAGGAGTAAAACAAAATGTGAAGCAATGGAAGGGAGAGGCTCTTTAAAAGCTCCAAGTTGAACGAATAAGTCGGAAGGGTGGTTCGACCAAGACGTGAAATAAAGTGTTCACACCTCCTTTGAATTGGAAGAAGGAATCAAACACATCCAGCAAGCCTCTGGTGAAACCGTTGAGGGTTTCGATGTCCTCCAACACGTTCCAACTCCAACAAGTTGGACCAAATCCGGCCATCATATGACTCCCAAATGAATATCCCAAAGGGGCCCAGCAGTATCCAACACTGTTAGCTGGCTAGATGATATCCAACACTGTTAGCTTCGTGCCTGAACGAATTTGAAGTGATTGGATCAGTATACACAATCCAAGCCTCATGGCCACAAGACGCGTCATGACCGTAGGACGTCGCCCCCGCCCCGTCAGAACTCCCGTAGGAACGGTCCTACGAACGGTCCGAACGGTCCGAAGAACACACAACATCTGGGTGAGCATCCCCCCCAAAATGTCCAGTGAATGTCTGTGGGGATTACCTGCTGACGACAACGCCCAGCATGATTAAGACTCCAGACCCGGGTGCAACAAGCATTCAGCGGCAACAGCCCACTCTGCCTTCACGAGGCCTTCCCTGCTAACACTAACGAGACGGATGCCAATGACTCGCCGGCGGACAGTTGTCTGCTCCCCAAAGGTGAAACATTGGGAAACACCAAAGACGCCTAATGAGCACAAGTAGTAGCCCATCATCTCACTGTCATCCACTTGGCACCAAGTGAGTTGGCTTCAAACGCCTTGACATTGCCAACATTGCTGTGCAAGACGCCGTGGTGTGGCGCCCTTATATCCGGCCAGCGGTGTAGAAAAAATCCACCCAAATGGCCGGAATCGATTTCTACCGACCAAGCTCCGCCCAGGCGCCATGACTTCGGTGCCTTTGGGCACGCCCTTCCCCAGCAGCTTGACCTCCTCCCGCAGCTCCTGACGAGCTAAGTTGGCTGGATGGAGAAAAATACCAAAAACATCCGAAAACTGAAACATGATGTTTTGGGGAAGATCCACATGGTTGAAAGGTGTGTGTGTGTTCCTTTGTTGAAATCTCAACATGCTCTGGTCTACAATAAAACGGGTCCATCCGATGTTTGCATCCTCAAGTCATGTGACTGGGTGACTGGTGAGTGTGACACAGCGAACGTGACTGTGGCAGGTCCAGAAAATCGAAGGGAGCAGGGCCGTTGACACGAAGTGTTTCCATCCAAAGGGCGTTCACGTGCAGGTATGCATCCTCAAAGCAGCGCCGTGTATTGCGTTGATGCGACGTGTAATTGCGCATAAACGGAGGGAAAAAGAACAACACCAAGCCGTGGTTATGAAGTCAGTTTCATCAACAACTTGATTGACCCTGAAGGAGGATAGCCTATGGGCCATGGTGTTTAAAGTTATGTAAACTGTTATAAACTGTTTAGAAGATTTTAGAAGCATGGAAGGACCCAGAAGGGCCCGAAATTCGAGGGCAGCAGCTGGGGTTGATGAATGCAGGCAGCCTCTGAGTCTCCAAGTCCTTATTGCTAGGATTTTGGTTCATGCACCTTTAAGCCGTAAGCCTCTATTTATGAGCCTTATTCCGGGGAGTTTACGCATCATATGCCTATAAGTCTCTGAGCCAATTTCTTATGGTTCAACCTTAAGCCTTAATCGCTTCGGTGCTGGATTGAGGCTTTTGTGCTTAGGCGCTGGATGGTGGAATCTGGTTGTGTGTGTGTGTTTGTTTGTTCCTCATCACGGTTTGCTTTGCATGGGCGTTGTATGCTTTACTTTTTGGGTTGTATTGATGCAAGGCTGGATTGAAAGGGTAATGGATTGATGTTTGGGCGCTTTGGCACTGACGCTTAAACGCTTATGGGCTGGATTGAGGCCTAGGAGGCATTGGATTGGGGCTAAGGCGCTGGGTGAAGGCTTAGGTCTAGGTGCCCAAGCGCTGGAAAATGGCTAGAGCGAGAGCATTGTTGTTCGGTGCAGTTTGTTTTGAAGGGTGGTCGCTTGTAGTCTGTTTGGTTGCGGCGAGGCTTCAACCTTTGGGTGCCTTGTTTGTTTGGATGCTGGATTGGGGTTTTGGTACTCAGAGGTTCCTCTGCCGCTGGATGAAACATGTGGGGCCCGTGGTGTGTCTCGTGGCCCAGACCCACGTTGTAGAGAAGCTGCGAAGATGTACCGATCATGAAAGGTTCAAACAACTCATGATCAGCATGATCAGCACAGTGCTTTTTTGAATGAGTGGATGATTGCATGATCAGCACAGCCTTCCTCAAGTTTGAATGACACTCCCTGGAATCATCATGGTTATGAGGATGGAATGGCGGACTTGGACGTCTGGTTGGGATCGGACTCGGATGACCATTCTCAATTCAAATACCAAACAGGTGGTTTTCACTGGATGCTTTCAGGGGGTGTCCAATTTGTGCACTATCAGTCAATTCTCTTCCAGCCGCCTCAAGGCACAGTGAGAATTCTGGACAGCCTTTGGAGCGCCGCCATCCACCGTGTTCCGTGGTGTCGTTGGGGTTCTTCCGTCTTGGGGGACTTGGTACGTCTGGCTGGGATCGTTGGACTGGGATTCTCGCCTTGTTTCGATACCAAATGCCCCACCTCTTTGTGTCCAAGGTTTTGTGCGAGAAGTCTTCAAAGTCCTTTTTTGCCTTAAGTGGTCTTCGTATGTCTTCATGTCTTCGCGTGCAAAGGCACGCGGGTCGTGTGGTCCGTGTGGTCCGTGGTCTTTCGGGGTTCCTTGGTTCGTCGTGGGCCGTCCGTCGCTTCGGGGTCTGAAGTTCTGAAGGTCTAAGCGGTCGGACCGCTGTTCGGTGGCGTTGGCCCGGCCAGGCTGGTAGCTTCGTGGCGTTCTTCGTCGTCCGAAGAGTCTAAGGGACGGTCGATCTCTTTCGTGTTGTTTTTTGCCTCATAGACTCGAGTCTCAGGTCTGGAGAAAAAGACTGCTCATGGCACTGGATGGAGACTTGGGCTCTTGGGATTTTGTCCGTGTATGTTTCATGCGGTTTTGAACGGTTGTCCTGTATCGCTATTGGGTTCTATTTGATTTGAGGGCTGCTTTAGGGCCTTCGGCACTAGAGGATTAAAGGCGGGTTAGAGGCTCCTGCGTGGCTCCTGATGTCTTTTGGAAGTTTACATAAGCGCTTAAAGGCTTATTATGGTCTTGTTGGAGACGAAATTCACTTTTGCTGTTTTGGGCGCTTAGGCACTTTTAGGCTGGCTATCAGGCTGATAGGCGGGCTCCTGGGGTCTTGTCTACATTTCTCAATACCTGGCCTTTCAATATTCCTGGCTTTCCAGCAAGTCTTGGTCGGCCCAAACGAGAAATTCCCACCCTCCAAGCTACCAGCTCGCTAGGGCCCACGGTCTCTGGCAAGTCTTTCACCTCATCCACTCCGAGCTGGAGCACTCCAGGAGACGCATCACCACAGAAAAAGAAATGACTGTGACGTCTAAACGCATCAATACGCAAAGCATCCGGACCAGAGACATGACTTCCAGAGGTCGGGAGCCGGGTTTCGACCGTCCTGAACAAGTCTGGAAACCTCGACCCTCCACTCGGAGGTCCGTGCGAACATGTATCATGGATGGTCCTGGTAGATCCTCAAGATTGGCATTTGGGGTGCTGAAGGCTCCGCCTTAGAAGCCTGCTGGTGTAAAAGAATATATCATGTATAATATATACACATACATCATACATATATCAACCCGTCAAATCTTGTTGCCTGGGCCCATCATTAAAATTATTGTAGATTATATCGACCTCAATAGACCTCTGGAAACCCAACCATTTGCCTCTTCAGCACAAGCATTTGCCTCTCTTTTCGGGTCGGCTTCCGGCCTCTTCCGCCACGAGGCGCTGAAGCTCTTGGTCGCGCGCCAAGTGATACATGGCCCAGCTAAGAACCTCGGTGTCTCCAACGGAGGCCAGTTGGAACGGATTGTTATATGGTTATATCAGTGCTGGTGGCATGGTTAAAACATTTTAAGACGTTCAAGTCACAAGTCATCATGTAGATTGTTGATGAATATAAAATACTATATATAAAATAGCTTTGCAACATGTTTTACATCTTGGTATCCGGGGGTATTCATTCATCAACCGTCTACATGACATGGCCCAGTCGCCTCATTGGTAGGTCAATTCGGAAAAATCAAAAAAATACATTATCAGCTGTCTTTGAGCTGTCTCTTAGCTCTGATTCTTTTCAGCCCTTGGAGTGACAAATGGTGTAAGTGTATCTTTTGTGATGCAAGAAAGACACCAGGGTACCCTGTCAGTGAGCCAGCTGGGTCAAGAGCTCAAAGTCACTGGCGCAACGGTGGCAGGGATCGTTTTTCCGGCAGGCCTACTTATTCTCTCTTACTTCGGCAGGCTCGACTTGTCTCTTGGAACTGGCGCCAAAACAATTGCCATAAACCAAGTGCATTGTGCTTACAGTGGGATGTGTTGAACATCGCAACATTGCATCGTGCATCGGTTCCTTCCTTGCTTCTTACAGGCAGGCTTGTTGATGGATATATTCAGAACAAACAAAGGCCCAGAAAACGGAATTCACCCAAACACATACGCTCTCAAGACTTGAAGCAACGAAAGGAAAGGAGGGTGGTCAATTGCAGCAGCATCCTGCCGATTTCTCTTGTCCAATTGAAGCAGGGGGGTCTGCCGCCACTTCTGGTGCCACAAGGTGTCATTTACGGGGGTAGACGTTGTGACGTTGGCTTTGTTTCGAGATTTGAAGCAGTCGAAGGGATGGATATTTGAGTGATGCTAGGCCAGCTAGGCTACAGGTCTTAAGATTCACGCTTTCGAGAGTCCAGGTGTGGTTTGGGTCCTTGTTTTAGACATTGACATGCTGCGACAACGTGTAGAAAAAATCTCCCTGAAAGGCTCAGCTTGAGTCTGTTCCTCAGTGAGGTCTGCTCAAAGCACTCAGAACAGTTCAACGATTCATCCACAAAACCCAGTCCGCAGTGCCCTGTCTGAGAGCAGCAAGGCTATGTCGATCTGTCGCCACTCTTCACCAGGCAGCGATTTTGCATCGGTTGCCAGTAAAAACTCGTGGCCACCTGCATGTTTTCGCATGCCGTGAAGACAACGGGAGACATTGCTAGAATGTACCCCCAGTGCATTGGCGCATTGAGCAACTGAAGGGTGCCAAGTCCACTCATCATTTTTTCCCAGACGTCTGCTCCACACGGGTTTCAATCCCTGTTGGTGGCTGACAGCTGCATTCGCAAAGAAGTGAGCCATGTTCCCAGACGGGGTTGTCCACTCTAGGTTGTCAAGTGCATTATTGCTCTTGTTGCCGTCCTTGTGATTAATGCAGGTGTGACGCGATGTTGGTGGCAGCCCCAGAAAGCTAGCAACCACCAAACGATGCACAAATTCCTTCCGGTTCCGGTGACTGCCACCTAGCCCAAGGCTAGTTGCAATATAACCCTGCTGGGTCAAATGTCCATGGTGAACACGTCCATCTCTTCTTCTCAATCGGCCAAAGGAGCTCACCATCCTTCCCGGAATCTCCTCGCCAGACAGGGGAGAGCGCATGGGTTGCCACTCTTCTTCTGGCAACGTCCGTTCACCGACCTCATGGAACTGGATTTCCAAGCCTTGGCATTCAAGGTTCAAATGACAGCACCTTGAGACAGTCTTTGGACTTAGGCACAGCTCATTCGCTGCTGATTGGATCGAGGAGCTAAGCGTCCAGCTTTGAGACCCAATTGCTCTCCACTGCACAGGCCTCGAATTCTTCGCTCCAACAGTTTGCCTGGACGCAGTGGCATAGTAGTGGATCATATTTTGAGAGGGCGTTACGTATTCCAGGTTGTCCAAGCGGTTGTTGGTTTTATTGCCATCTTGGTGGTGCACCTGCCACGCTTGTGGGCACTTGGGAGGCCCGTGGAAGCTCATTTTGACAACTCGATGAACAGGCCATTTGCGCTCACAAATGTAAATCTTACGGTACCCAGATGGATGCAAGTTACCCAGCGTGAGGGCTCCACGGCTGTCCCGGCAACGTCCAAAGGAACTCACCTGCCAGCCCGTATATGTGGCTGCCTGGCCAGATGCCCATCGACATGACCCAACAAGAAAATGTGAAGCCCCATGGGAAGATCTCCGTGCGGACAGCATCGTGAGCGCAGCGTGAGCGCAGCATGCGCTGCCAAATGGAGATTCGGAAACATATGATGCGTCGTCGTCCATGCACTACTCACTGAAATGTTGCACTGAGCCCAACAACCAATGTGATGAGCCCCCCTTACTTATGCACCTAAAAGGCCGTGCTTCTTGTCCATCCAGCTTCCTAAAGTGATGCTTGTGCCAAAAAGAGCAAACAGCCACCGTGCCAAACATGCAAAGTATGAAAGGGTTGGTAAATCAAGGGGTCAAAGAAACCACCGCCTGCATTCTGCATGGCGGCCTATCCTGATGGGCATGGCGGCCTATCCTGATGGGCTTGTCCCAGCCACCGATTTGATTCCACATATGTCCTCATTCGGTGACGTGAACAAGTGCCAGCCTTTACAACAAACCAGTCACCAGGAAACGCCAACAGTGGCACCACCAGAGCTCCACGCTGTTGAAATGATGCACACGTATCCACTTTGTCGAAATGATGCACACATATCCACTTTGTCGAAATGATGCACACGTATCCACTTTCCCATTTAAAATATACAACCTGATTGCTGACACTGAGGGTGACTACAAATCCAGCCCACAGAAGGGGTAGGTGGGTCAACCAGCTTTCAAAAAAATGGTTCTGCTTTCTGCTGAATGTGTACCCTTCTGAAAGCAAGCAAGTGACAAGTAAGTAGATGATGTGTCTTTCCAAGGTCTTCTCGCCGTCATATCTTCCTTTACCAACCCACTGACCCCGATCCAGGGCTCCTATTCTCAAGGGGGCATCTACGTGTTTCCTAGTCAGACCATGGAAAACACCCGGAACCCTCAAAACACATCTGCCATCCTCCTTTCTAGGCTGTTCCATCCCTTGTGCCCAAGAAGCCACGCTAGTGGTGTCCGTCCCTGCGCCAAAGAGGACCGTCAGGTTGCCGATGAGCTCCTGGACACCGGACAAGATCGTTCGGGTTTGTGCTTTAATAGGGAGACCCCAACCAGATGGGTCCATTCTCATTCTTCCAGAAAAATCGGGGGGCTCTCTTCCCCAGCATTGTCAAGGTCTCTGGCCCTCGTTGGGTCTCTTCGCTCGTTTTGATGAGAAGAGGATGGCCGGAACAAGTGGCCCCACGAATGAACTTGATGTTTTCTAACGTCATCATGTGAGGGGCAACACAACAAATTCCGTACATATCGTACCATCAACCAAACTGCTTTAGAGTCCTCTGGGCTCAGCTTGTCTCCCTCAAGTTGTCGTAGCTTCTCCACCACGGTGTTTCCTGCGAAGGAGCTCGATCGAGAAGGGTTCATGAGAAGGTTATGACAGTCCTGTCACTGAGCTTCATCCTAAATGTACAGGAATGACCATGGAACAAAGATACAGGGATCAGTAGGATTGGATAGTGACAGGGATTGGAACACCTAGACCTTCTGAGGTTGGCCGAAGCTAGCCGCCAGCTGGCCGCAAGCACTGGGAAAGAGGATGTTCTCTACCCATTGTATAAATCAAAATTTTAGAATGGTTAGCAGCGTAGCTAACAATCACCACCCTCTTACTGTCCAAGCATCTCCGACATTCCCAAACAAAACCGCCAAAACAAGAAAACCTGACACATCCAACACTTCCAACATCTTCCAACAGTCCAAACATCTCTCCACTGCGTGGTTTCGCCCAAAACGACTCCAAATCATTCCGAATCATCCACCGATCGACCGATCCAGACCCCAACATCCCCACATCCAACGCTCCGAAGGCAACCCACCATCCCGCCTTGTCCAGCTTGTTCGTTCATCAACTTCACCATGCGCCGACCGATACGATCCGCGGCGGCGTTGCCACCGTCCAAGTACCTCGGTAGTGCAGCGATGCAGGAGCTCAATAGCGGCTCAGTCGCGTGACTCCAATCAAAACCGCTGATTTGGGTGCTTTTGGGCACCCAAAACACCCGGAAAATACGTAAGGCTGGATGCTGAAGAATTACCCAAGAATGGATGGGATGTTCCTGGTCTTATCATGTGGATTCCTGCAACTACCCAGCTCGGAATGTAATTAGGTGGTTTGAAGGTGTTTTTCCCTGAGAGAGGAAGTTTGCATGTCAAAAAGGGAGTGTTGCTATGATTTGCTATGAATTGTCTAGTTGTTTCATGTCCCATTCGATTCATTCTGGCGCAGCAAATACTGCCTTGTTTCGTACCAATGAATGGAGATATGGCCAGATGTGGCCTGCAGTAATTAGTATACAATTAGCATTGCTGTTCGCCATTTCGCCTCTGTTCTTGGAAATATCAAGAAATCCACATCCTGCCTGCCGATGATAGGAATCTTCCAGTAGGGGATTTGGAGGAAGATGCGCGTGTTCAGGGCACCCAACATCTTCCTGAGAACAGCAGCGGAGTGTCGGCCTCACAACTACAAAGGTTGACCTAGATTGCCATAGCCGTGGGACAGGACTCACCTAGTAATAAGATGATGTCCAAGCAGTGTTTTCATCTCAACTCTGCACTGGTTCTGGGCAAACTGGATGCTTCCACAAACCGGCTGCAGCCCAGGATCTTCACGTCCACCACCATCCCCGACTTCTTGCTTTCCAACATCCCCAGGTCCTTTCCAAAGGCTGTGGCACACAACACGTCCGCGGTGTACATGGGCAAGAGCTCCTGGAGAAGTTGGAACTCAGTGGACTGAGGATAAGAAGAGAAGGTCGGGCTGCTTAAGCTGTGGTTGAGGCACTAGAGATAGACTCGGACACCTGCCCCTGGATCCACCAGCTTCCAATGATTCCCCTACCGACTCTCGAGGGTGGAAACTCCTGAGACCGAACCCCCTGGGCTCTCCGTGAAGTTCACTTGTCCACCGGCGTTCGAAAGGGCTTCTTTCTGCAGAGTTTGCAGCAAAGTCTGCGTCATCCGCGTGACCTCCGGCGCATAGCTGGCCTCGGGGCAAGGGTTTCGGCAAGAAAGGACATCGGCAGGGAGACATGGTGAAGTATAGGAACCTGCCACGCTCATTTTCTGTCATCTGAATCACCTCTTTTGCGCCTAGCAGCCTAGCACCTCTCCCCATATACCGTATATCGCCTCCGACTATAGCTCGGTTCCTCGATCCCAACTCGCCCAGAAGCGATGCTCTTCACATTGAACGCCGGGGAAAGCAGGCGCCGCTCCCGCTTCCACCTAAGGCCCCGGCGGACGGAGGCAGACCACAGACCGCGGACGACCGGACCGCGGGGAGCCCGCGCTGGCTGCGCGGGCTCCGAACTTGGACCCAGGGGAATGCCTTTATGGAACACGATTGTTTGCTTCAGGCAAAGTATATCTCCCAATGTTTCTTGCTGGGAGATTTCAATGTCCAAGAAAAGGCGGAAGTCGCACGCAACACCACTCACAGAGCCCGTGAAAACGGCCATCTGCCCCTGCTCGTGCCGCGACACTGGTCGCCCTCACTGAAGAAGCTGCCTTGCAACATGCCATGAGCACCATTCAACAACGAGCCTCAGCTGGGAGAAGTAAGGGGATCTGGGCCTGGGTCCCCAAGGTCCTTGTCGATGTGTTCGTTTCTGTAAGGGGGGCTTAGGCTTCTTCTGGCGGGTTGTTTCAGAATGAGAAACAACTATATACTTCTACAGAATGTGTAAAGCGATTTCACCTTCAACTACTATTCATTTAGATTTGCCTGGATCCTGAACAACAGTCTTGGAGTGCATGCCCCCGACACAATGACGCTGGCTCATGATGCAACATGTGTTCTTTCAATCATTGGTCCTCAAAACAAGTGCTATGGCTAAAGGATGAGAAGCACAGCATCCATAGACCCCAGGGGAGAATCTGTTCAAACCGCTTAGATCACTTAGATCTGTTTGGCGTCTATAAACTCTATCCCAGAATTGGTGTAAGGGAACATCTACATGAAAGCCATGGTTTGGGAGGCTTCCTGTTAGATGTTCCCTTAAACAAGAACCATTGACTCGTTGGAAACAGCTGAGTGCCAAGAACGACCAGCTCGGTCCGCTCAGGCGGCGCCTGGCTTGATGGCTTTGGAGGGTCGCATCTCCAGGATCTTCGACACCAACGGCCAGGAGCAAATCCCCACCAGCCGACTCCCAGCCTCGCGACGTGGAGCTCATCGCGGCTTTTTGCGGCACTCATTCGGAGGAGGGAGAAGGAGGACCTCTTCTTCCCGAGGCTTTCCTTTTCTTCAAAGCAAAACCCCTTGGAGGTTGGGGCGCCACTGCGGGTTCCTGCGGGTTCTGTCTTTTCCGAGCCAGGCTCGCCGGAAAAAAAGATACGCTCGGCGAGGGGATTGGTGACGGCCCGGCAGTCAGGAGGGGCCCTCGTCTTAGAGTAGATGAGCTTCAAGAAGGCTGCCCAGAAGGTTCTCAAGAAAGTGAGGGACAAAGTCTCTCTGATGTGTCTAATCTGCATAGCGCTTCTGGATGTTTCTGGAGCATTTGGTTTCCCTGTCTGGTCGTCTGCATCCCGGCAACCAGAACCATCTCAAAGACACCCTCTTGGCCGTAGTCCCTTGCCCACTCGTCGAATTGCTCACCGGAATGTTGGCCTGGCTCGCGAGCCAGCCATAACCCCACGAACGCCACGGGAAACCATTGGATCCAATCCTGACTCATTGTGTACCCAATGGTGGAGATCATCCACATAGATCTGCCGTTGAATGAAGAGAACCCCAGCAAAACTGCGGGTAGCCACACAAACTAATGCAGAAAGCTTGCCGCGGCAAGTGAGTCTCTTTTCAACAAGCCCGCATCGCTCTCGGGGCCTATCCAATCAAAAGGTTGCTTCTTCACCTGGTTCATAGACCTCCCGGTTGGTGTAGTAACTTGTGTATTGAAGCCAAGAAGTTTTACCGGCACCCGGGAGGTTCCGTCACAACCGATTTATATGTGTCGATTTGATCAGAGGCTTCACGGTTTCGATGCCTCGTTCTATCCCAAAAAAGAAAGGGGAATCGAACGAGAGGGATCGCTCCATCGCTCCAATCACCTGCTCCAGGCATGGAAGCACCTGTAGACAGGATGGATTCTTGGATCTTGGTCGAACTTCTTGGCTGTGCTCCTATAAAAAGGTTCTCTGGCAATCCTGTGGTTACAGTGATTTCAGACTAGATTGCACAAACATCTGGAATGGGTTTAGCTCCGAACCTTGCTTTCAGCCGGTGGGTTTCCCGTCACCAGTCAAGACCGCTCCCCGGCCTGAGCCCAGCTGTGCCAAGACCCCAAAATACGGAAGGCCAGGGACCGTACCTTCAGCTTCGAATCCACGACTGGTCAAGGGGAGACTGAACACAGGTTTCCATTCGCCCAGCGAAGGCGATTCCTGTGGGGCTTGGTCAGTGCACCCTTGCAGTCCATGGTGACCCAAAAGGGGCAGGAGAAGATTCTGTGAATTGGCCTTCTACATCCATATACTATATAATATAATTAGAACATGACAATGTTCATCCCTTTTCCTGTAGACTGTTACCATGCAAGATACATATTCAATCTGTGAGAACAGAGGACGAGAACCCACGTTTCATCCCCGTGAGGCGGGGGGAAAGCCCTTCCGTGCCAAAGCGCGGAAGCGGTCAATCTTGGGGCTCAGGAGCCACCTGAGGCCAAGACAAACTGAAGAAGTAGTTAGCGATGGCCTCCAACCTACTAGCGATGGCCTCCAACCTGCTAGTCTAAAAGTCTCTAGCAACATCTGCAACTTTTACTGCCGAAGGAAGTTCTCCTCCTGCAACACATGATTTCAGCGAATGCCATGGAGTTCATGTATTAGTCTGGTGTGCATATATCTCTTTGAAAAGGATGAGTTATGGAAAAGATCTCTGGCTAAGGACCTCTTGGGGATGGTCAGGGTGGGTCCTCTTTCCATGCTGAAGAAACAAGCGGAGGGAGCCGACTTCAATCCTCATCCACCTAAATATAACTATGATATTACGTCAGGTGGTACCTATTCTCCTCCCAATCCCAGAGAGTGTCAATAGACCCTTGCGATCTGCTGACTCACGGTGGGTTGTGATAATGATAGCCCTTATTCAACAGGAGTAAAAGGTCACAGGGTGCAAACAAACATCTTACCCGGTGCAGGGCATCTTACAAATCTAGGATGCTGTGGCTCTGCATCTACACATGTTTGAAGGTGGGCCAAATTTAGCGGATGAGGTGTTGTGAGGGGATGAGGGGCGAGCATGTCCGCACACACCTGAGACTTGACGCTGGAGAACTGGTGCAGACTCGGTCTCATTGGGAATGGTGTATGTCTTAGGTGGAGTTTTGATGGAAGAAAGCAATCGAGCAAACATTGAAAAGCTGTAGGAGGCCAAGCGTGCAACGTGTACGAAACCATTTCAGAATTAAGGTGCTATTGGGTCCCCTGAATCATCCAAAGCAACCTATAAGCATCATCTAGTGGAAGCAGCGCCAGTTCAATGATTTCAGTGGGCCACGCACATGTCCTGTGTTCACTCGGCCTGATCATTCGATGTTGACATCCAACCCCTGCTCCAGAGTTGGATTTGATGTAGGGAGGGCCAAAGCTTGGGCTCCTCACCCAACCAAAAGATGTGTCGAATACGTCGACTTTCATCACGAGGCACCCTTCATTCTTGGTAAAGCTGGTTGCGAACAGTGAATAGAATGTTGATTGGCGACATTTACGTATGAAGCGGCTTATCAACCAGCTGGGCTGAATAAAAGCTTCAATTCCCTTGCTCTGGTGACGATGAGATAAGCTTGCCTCCTTTGATAAGGTCCTGAAACCCTTCGCCCTTCCAACCGATATCGTCATGGTTTTGGCGGCCGCGAACATATAATAGTTTAATATCAGGTCAATACCTTCCCCATCTCTTTCTCATAATCTTTGCTTCATGTGTTCATAATGTCGTTTGATGCCAGTTGCACCACATAAGACCTTTTGAACCATGTGTATAAGTAAAAGTATATATATACATATTATGAGAGAGAGAGAGAGAGCTGTTCAACGCCTTATCACATTGTTTAGGCACTTGCAGGCGTGCATGCAGAAGTGCCACACAAGGCTTTGCCATTTCTTTAATCGGTCTTCATGAATAATTTGGTGCACGCGCAATAATGCGCAATAGGCTACCGGCTAGACCGCACAGCTGAGAGAAGTAAAATAATATCGGTCTTCATTCACAAAACATGTTTGTCATGTTGCCATCATCCTTTTGATCATCATTGTGTTGTGTTCATCCTACATGTTTGATGGACGGGCTGCAAAAGACTCGAAGTGGCGCAAGAGATGCGTATCAAATATACTTAACATTATCTTAACAGCATGATCCATCAATCCTCGTGTTGGGATGCTGTTCACGGGATCAGACAAGAACTTAGACGTCAAAAACATAAATAAATGTATACATATTCTGCCATTGCTTTGCGGCACCATAGCTACCATTCCCCAGCCGCGCCTCAAGAATGCCAGCCCAGAGAGAAGGGAGGCGCTCACCACCACCGTGGTCTTCACCTTTTGCTCCGTCAAGTCCAACGTCATGAGTTCCGTTCGGCAAAGCCGCAGGGCGCGAGCGTGGCACTATCGGGCACGATCGGACCGGTCGAAATGCTGCTTGATGCTAAGGGCAGAAGGAGAAAGCTGACCCTAGGAACAAAGAAGCTACTAGGAGCCAAAGGAGCAAGAAGCTACGAATGGAGCTAAGAAGCTATACTAGTAGCTCCTGGCATTACTACTAAGAACTAAGAAACTACTCTCAGTCGACCCCTGGACCCTGCGGACCAATGCACCCTCAACAGTGGACGATGAGACGATGATGGTGATGAACTTCTCGACTGCAATGAATGTGAAAATGGATTTCTGGAACCTTCTGGATGGAGTCGCCTGTCACCGCCTGTCACCTTTTTGGGTTTTCCATGTTGGTCAGTGTGGAGCCAAATAAGCATGAAATGGCATTCATCTTGGAATAGGGGACCCCTAGCCACATATGGCATATGGTTATCCAATAAATAATGATCATCCTATTTTCAGAATGATACCTGACCCAGTTGGATTGAGAAAATCATGGATCTTCAGTAGAAAGGTCGAAACCAACACACAAAGAGTCGAGTGCTTCTTGGGGGAGAAACACTCGGCTTCCCCAGCGACCATCCCCCACGACACCATGGAACATAGGCAAATCAATGGCGCCACGCCCTGGTTTAGGAGGCGATCGCCTTCCAGTCCTGATGAACTTCAGCGAACTTCCGTTTTGGGATGCCTTTGGGGGTGTCTTTAAGGTGCACCGGTCCATTTCTTGAGCTGAAGAGCAAGCCAGCTGTGCCTTGGCAGTGGCTCAAGAGGTGGTCGTAACAGCTACCATCCTACAAATCTACATCTAAGCCCTCTGAGACTCTGCCGTGAATGGGTTTGGGTTGGTAGTTGGACCCCTAAACTTGACTCCTACAGTGAGTCACTCGAGCAGCGCATCTTTTCTGGAACTATCTCCTGCTCCATCTGACCTCATGCTTTTGATGCTCGGTCACAGCCATCTGGCGAAGAAACTGTCGCCAAACCATCCAAGACTGGGCAGCCCCAGCTTGTCCATGTCAGGAACTAGGACCAAAACGGAGCTTGATCAGGCAGGGCCCAGTCCCTCAATTGGCTTAATGCTGGCTGCTTTTGCTATTACATTAATGAAGACCCATGAAAGCACTATGGAGGTGTTGACCATCTAGGCATAGAGGGATTATTCATCAACAGTCAACATAAATAGATAGAGTATAACAGGGTGTAGTATCAACACTCCCAAAACTTCTTTGGACCCAAGGAACTCCTAGCTCCTTTGCTCTCAAAGTATCCAGCGGACACTTCACACTCTTGTAAGGCCGGCCGCGATCGGGTGTCGCCCTCGGCTGCACTCACTCCATCCCTGCGGCATCCCGCGCGATCTTGTTCTGATGAATGGCTTCCTTGCGACGCGAAGGCCCAAAAAGGAAAGAAAACCGCCTTCGGGCTGTGGAGGCCCAACGCGAAAAAACAGAATAACATTGTTTAAAAAAATGTTCACCACCCAACATGAAGAGAATAGACTACTATACAAAGAGGTCCACCTGCCAGTGACCAGGGCTCTGGATTTTGACCCACAGCCAAATGACTACTGAATTAAGAGACTCACTATTGGATACCCAAGGACGCAAAGAACTCACGCGCACGTGGCAACCTTTCAAGGAGAATACCCGGAGGTCCTTAGTTCCCTAAAAACCATCGGCTTGTGAGGCCTAGGTTGGCCAAGCAATGTGTCACTAGATCCTCAAGAATGATGCTGTATATATATATATATATTGTGTATATATATATATATATTACATTATAATATTATATAGATATATGCTAATTTCTTGTTTGGGGGGTGTGATCTGTGAAGGTCTTGCAACCTTCGTTCGGACTGCGCCAAAAGTGCAGATTCACGCATGAGTGTTGCCCAAACCAGTGGCTACGTAACTAGAAATACCCCCCAAACTTGAGCTAGAGCCACCCACCACTGCAACCCACCACTGCCCATCGGGCCGGTCACCCCGCATCACCGGCGGCACCTCTTCCGCATCAAAGGGCACATCCCATTTGAGGTCGTGGAGCTCCTCGCGCCATTCCAAGAGACGGCCGAATAGTCGCGGGGTGAAAGGCGATTTCGGTAACTCCCGGGTGGGGCGAGAACCACTTGGTTTGGCGATTCCAGATGTGATTCATGTGAACTCTACTGGGCCCATTCAGGAACTGGTCTACCAGTGAAGTAGACCTATAGGACCCATAGTGATCACCTGTGCAGCGGGTTTGGAAGACATCACACGCAAGTCCACAAGTGCGAGCTGCTTCCCGACTCGTCCTCCAACTTCCCGATGAAAACTTGGCGGCGTGAGGAGAGCTCCACCATGGCCTGGCGGAAGGACCAGCAAAACATATCCCAATACAGGTTTTGGTTGCCCTGTCGGTGGGCCTCAACAAGAGAATCGGATGTAAAGCCCATGGATTTCCTTGATGCCTCCGCAGGCATCGCCCTGCCTGAGGCTTTAAAATTGTCGCGCCGTCATAGAGCCACGAAGCCAAGTCCTTTCCGCAACGACGACGGAGGTTGGGTGACGAGGGCAGGAGCTGACCATGTCTTGGGCCAGCTGAGAGATTTGGGGTTTGCCACTCACATTCATTGGTGCTTTGATGTGCTTGATCAATATTCTTTCATGATGAAATGGCCATTCATCGTGAAAAAAAATGCCTTTCACGTCACTCCAACCCACACCCCTGGACCCGATCCACTCCCACATATGGGCCCCCGAAGCAAACCACGCCCCACGTGGTCAGTTCGTATCCCTTAAGATCTGTCGAGTTCGTGTGGGTTGTTGGAAGGCCATGTATCTATGGGCGCTTCTTAACCCATGTGGGGGATCATCCGATGGGTTTGGGATGCAGAAAGAGGACAACATGCAAACATAGTGCAGAAAAATCATTGAACCAATCTGGTCATTCCTTTCAGGACTAAGGGACTAAGTTCTTAGTCTCGTGAAAAACTCGCTGTTTTTGAAAGGAAGGCAGCCCTAGAGTAAAAGCTGACACTAATTATATTGGCAATGCATAGCAGGAACATGCAGGAAACAACTCCCTCTGCAAAAAATGAATAGATTCAACCCCAGCTCGGCAACCCAGTTCCAGACCGATGACCCCACTTCAGGATGTTCCCTCCTCCCTCTCACTGCGCCCCACCCCTCTTCTTCTTTTTCGCGGTACGTTTGATCAATCTTGAGTGCCATCTCCAACTCAAGTAACACAGTCACCCTCTCAAACATCAATTCTAGACCAATCTTCTTCGGTGCGTTGAACTATATCCGCCGACCCCGTGGTGCAGCAAGGGGAGCGCGCCCAGGCCTCATAATCGAAGTGTGGGGGCTTCACACGAGGCATGGGGCTGCAGACAGGGGCAGAGAGGCCTGCGAAGAAGTCATCTTGAAGGATGATGAGGGGGCCTGGGGCAGGCGAGGAAGTGTTGCCGTTGACAGCATGTGCCTTCCGGTTCCGCTCCTTGCGGCTTTCAGACCAGTCCTCAGCATCTGCAGCTTTGGCCTGCGCAAAGAACGCCCAACTCTCTCCTGGTCTTTCAGATTTCGCTGCGCCGGCCTTGTTGCTGTTGTCCGGCGCGTTCGCAGCCTTGTTGTTCGGGGTGTAATGTCGTCTGGCCTAGGTCGCGCAAAATCACGCGCGTATTCTGAAACCCCTTTGGCTGGGGGTCCGGCTCCACCTCCCGCCAACCAGGCACCAAGGGACAACGGCCGCGTGGATTGCGCGGCAAGTCCATTCCGCCGGACCCGGAGCTGCCGCATGAAGCGGTGCTCCTGGCCAGCTTTCAACTTCTACACATGATAGT